TTGAGAGTAATAAAGAATTCAAAATAGGGAGCTTCTTTTCAGACACCCTGTATATTAACATTAAAATGTTTGTTACATGATTAAATAGTAAAATGTCCTATCTAGTATAATGATATTCTGTGATAACTCTGTTTATTATTTAGTTAATTCAATTTCAACTAAAAAAAAATTTGCAAAAATGCATAATGAATTCAATAGATACTTTGGTAAAATTTGAACTAGTTTGGCTAGAAAATGCAAACTCATGTCTTCAAAATCGCTTAAGTTTGGATGATTAATCGCAATTCATTGACGATTTCATGACAACAAAAATGACTGAATGATTAAGTAAAGCATTTTTTTATTAGATATTTTTTTAATTTCCAGATATCAAAAGTGACTTTTTCTGAAAAAGGATGACTTCAAAACTATTTTTAGAAATTAGATAATTTGTTATACAGTGAAGATTCATACTAAATATGTATTAGTGGATTCATTTCAGTCAATACAAAACGCTGGAAGACAAATCTTTGTCAGTTGGACATGCCAATCATCTAATTTTACTGCAGAAGCTATTCGAAACTGTATACTATGATGCTACGTTTAAGATATGCTTTTCTTGTCTTCAAGTACCCATATCATCAAAATCACGCGAAAATTGACGATTTTACCATGGTTTATTAGGTCGATTAATCGCCTAAACTGCCGATTTTTGAGGAAATCGTGATTATTTAAATCATATTTTCGATGATTCGAACTGATTGTAGTATTTGGATCTGTAACTAAGACTACATCTCGACATGTAAATGAAGAAAGAGAACATGTCAATGATAACTACTAACCTGGCCATTCAGTTTCCGAGCATATAAATGTAAATATTAAACTGATAGGATAGGTTATCAACAATAATTCATATTCGATTTATGACCTCTCTCTCATGGTACCATAGAACACACATGATCTACAATTGTTTAAAGACGATAAATAAAGTTACATCTCATTGGATAGCTCATCAACTTGATAATGAACAAAAGCAAGAACGAACTAAGAATTTGTCTTGAAAGTTTGGTGAAATTTTATGATAGATCATGTCAATTAGGCAATCATATTATAGATAATAAGATATAATTAGATTTATCATAGACGGGTTGGATGCAAGTCAACTAGCACTAGTTACATTAGTGAAGATCAATTGTCAATGATTATTATTCGTCGAAATAGGTTTGAACGAAAAACTTAATTGTATCTACTCTTTAAATCAAATGGTTCTGTTCTTATACTTAGTATAGATAAAAACAAGACTATAGATCACAAATATCATATTGAAAACTGCTTTTAATCTGTTATCAGTAAAATATGGAAACAAAGAAAGTCGCAAGCTGCACATAAATATAGAACTACGTCATCAGAATTCTAGAATACATGCTCATTCAGATATGATAAACTATTTAACACCTGAAAGCGTCAATATAATAGTGCATCTGTCGCTATAACCCAAATCTGCGTCATCCAATTTTTCTCCCACATATTTACATCAAGCGTAATTTAAATGTTCGAATAAATGAAAAATCATTAGCTCGTGCTTTTTCAAAGGATTTTAAATGTATTTCAGAGAAATAGTTTAAAAACGTTTAACAATGGGTGTGAGGTATGAGTGAGTGTTCCGCTATTTAAGAGTGGGTGAGGAGATGGAAGAAAACAAGAACGACACATACTCACATCCACACCTTTCAAGAACATATTCTTTTTGATTATTATAGGAATGCTATTTTCGAGTGTTATAGTTTAATAAATTGGAAAAATTGAATTCGTAGATATCAAAAAAATTTCAGACGATTTCTTATATCTTTGAAAGTCTGACATCTTCATAGTAGTGATCTTCTGCTAATGAAAGATACGATATAAATGTGAAAACATATTAACAACATGGCATACGAAAAATTTCAGAAATCATGTGAATTATATTGATGTTTCTAGTAGTTGATATCATGGAATTAGGAAACAATGTTTTATTCTAAAAATTTTTCAGTTGAACGATAAGTGAACATATCGTATTCTGACAATAATTCTGCGTCCAGTAATACAGTCGTCTCATAATCAGATTACGGCTCATACGAAGCCATATTTGGTAAAAATACGATATCGTATACGGTACCGTATTACTATCCGTAGAATTACAAGAAAATACGGTTCGTTTACGTATCGTTCTGGAGCGTAAATGGTTGTAGACGACAACGTTAGGATGAAAATATAGATAGACATATCAGTCGACATAGGTTGTTATTTGTTCAAGATAACGTTACATAGTTTCCTGATATCAATCCATTATCAAAATAAATTTTCAACACTATTACATTTCAGCAGCGACACTCAACTTTTAGTTAAATTCGAGATATAAAGAAAACAAACAATTATTTATATGATTATAGAAAATTATATTATGGTACATTTATCAGGACAAATAGATGTCGCCTATAAACGAATGTCATCTTCATAATCTAAAAAGTGAATTAAAACAAGTATATTTCCTTGTCTTGATACAGATAATAATTGATATAATTTTGAATAAATTAGTTAAATACTTTTTTGTTTTGAAATACCAATTTAAATGAATGATTCTTTAATAATTAATCAAGCCAATCCAAATGTGTTTTCGTCGAGAGAGTGACAGCGACAGAGAGAGAGGAAAAAAAAGAGATAAACACAATAAATAATAACTATAATTAGATGTAAGAACGACATCAATGTAATATTCATTATATGCTTGTTGACATTACTGGCAGAAGAAAAACATGTTGCTCAAAATTTTCTTAATCTTGACAAATAGAATAAAAGAAGATGGGTAATCTATTAACATCAATACCAACTACTGTTTCATTGCCAATATTTGGGGTCGGGTTGACCACATTATGTTTAAGTCTATGTTTTTGTTGTTATTTATGGCGGTAAATATTCTTATTTTGAAAAAGAAAATTATAATAAATTGTCTTTTATGAAATTCTAGACTTAGACGAGATACATTTCGCGAAAAAGGCTACCGAAAAGATCAATATATGCGATGTAAAGTAAAAAACTCCGTAAGTCTTTTTTTTGTTTTTTTTATAAGTCTTTCGACTATTTTATTTTTAAACATGAACGACAAAGAAAATTTCCCATTTCATATAGAGTTGTGTTATTTGTTTTGATGATTTTTATCAAGATGAAGAAATAGCTGTATGTCCATGTGAACATGCATTTCATAAACGTTGTTTATCACCATGGTTACAACGAAATTGTACATGTCCAATGTGTAATATGTGCATCAAACCGGAAATATCTGGTTCATGTCAAGTAGCCGATATGCTTTAGATAGACTAAAATTTGAATCTTTATTATTGACTTTTTTTTTCATTACACTCATTTAATCAGTTATAATGAAAAAAAAGAAAAAACAAAACCAAACAAGTCATTACATATATCGGTTTAGAACTATATACGTGCATACATTAAAGGTTTTTTTGTTTAATTACATAATTGAATTGATATGCTTTTTTTTCATTGTTGCTATTGTATTGAAGTTTTCTTTTTTTTTTTAAGAACAGTATGTTCGATTCCTCACTCTCTTTCTCATTTGGTCCGCCTTCTTTGTATATAAAACATTTTATTTTATGAAAATATAATGCTCAAATTACTTCTATCAGTTAGAAGTTCAACTCTTTTTTTTTATCGAAGAGAGAGAAAAAATAATTTCTTGATAATCTTATGAGATATGAGCAATGTTTGTTATATTTTAATATTCAGGTTAAAAACAAATTTCTCTTTGAAAAATAAAATTTTAATAGTTTTAAATTATGATTCATTAACCACTTCAGCGTTAAATTTTTTGGAAACTAAAACATGGAACAGATTGAATAGCGACGTTTTTTATATCAATTTTCAACCCTTTCATACTTTGTACCAAAAAACAATACGTCACACGATGCAGCGTGAAAAGTTCCATAATCTGCAAAGCAAAGCTTATTTCAATTCAGTACTTTGAGGTTTCAAAAACGAAGTTAAGGAATTATAGTCTTCATCTTTGCCATAATGAATGCTTTGTCAAGTATACTCGTCGATAACGTTGAAGGGGTTAATATAAAACTAAATTATTATCTTAGTACGTTATCGAACATTTAAAACGTTTTATTAGTATTCAATGTGTATCACAAGTTATGTGGTATAGATTGACAAGATAAACAGTACTCCTACTGGCTGTAAAACAAAAATTTCATGACAACTATCAGTTTATTTCTTTTTGAATTAAATAAAATAAGGGTTAATGCGGATTTGTTAAACGATTGATCTAAACAAAAAGATTATTCCAAAAAACGCAAATCTTCATCTCATGTTACTATTATCTATAATGCAAAAAAAACCAGAAAGGACACAATGACCTTAGTGTCTTTCTCGTCTTCTAAACCATCGTAGAAAACTAAGTTAATTATTCTATATTAAAAAATGAAGTATTTTTATTGTCTAAAACGTCTCTTCATAACAAATAATTGAATATTTCAATTATTTTATTCATCTTTGTCTTGAATAGTAAATTTATTTGAATAGAAAACTTCCTGTTTTATCGACAGAAGTAACTAATCTTAGTACGGTCATTCTCGTCAATGCTAGTAAATATTTTAAGAATTTTTTCGTAAGTATTAGCAATGAATATAAAATTTCAAGTGAAGAGTCAGTGTTGTTGAAGTTATTTTTATTATTTAATTATTCAATAACATAATTCAATCAAATGATTAATTGTCTTGTTTGTTTATTTCATAGAATTTGCTTTTTTTCAAAAAAAAAAGAATAATAAGAAAAAAAAAGAAAAGATTACACTAATGATCAAGCGCATGTCAGGACTACAAAACAAACTCATTTCAATTCACAATATAATATCTTTATCTTTATTTTTATAAGAATAAGTAAAATGATGATTTATACAAAAGAGAGCACAAAAAAAAGAAAGAATAATATTGAACGAAAGATAAAATAAACAAGAATATTCAATTTTATATAGGACTCTTTTTAAGATTAAGTCGTCTATGTCTATGGAAAGATATTTTAGCACCAGGAGCATGTGGATCATTCATGAATGTTCTCATGTATGATCGATGTATTTCACGTAATTCATCACGTAAACGCATACGGATTTTGGCATCATTGGCTAAATTTTGACTTAAATGATTTGCAACAAGTGGACGAACTTGACTTTCACTCGGACGATGATCAAACGACGTACGAGACCTATCACGAAGAAATTCACACAATGCTGGATAACGAGGAATTTGAAGTAAATAAGATTTTGCATTCTTATTCTTTTTGGCTTTTTTTCGAATAATGTCTTGTAAAGTTAATGGTAAACGAGCCATACCATCATCTTCATCTTCATCTTCATTTTCATTTTCATTTTCATTTTCATTTTCATTTTCATTTTCATTTTCATTATTCTGATCAGCTATAGATAAAAAAAAAACATATGAAACTATCAATATATTTTAATTATTTTCTTAAAGAAAATAAAATTTACATGATTTAATAATCTTTAAGGAAGTTATTAGCTATTATTCAAAAGGATAAATTTTATATTTATATTTATGTGAAGTCATGAGAAAAAAGAATTAAATATTAAAGTTCACATTAAATTTATAGTCAAGATTAGAAACTTATTTAATTTATGTTTATAATCTTTCTGTAAAGATTCTAATAATCAATCATGTATTCAATTGAAAACATTGTATCAAACCACTCATCAAGAAAACAAGGCATGAAAGTTCTAAAGATGTCATGACGATGTGTATCTTGAGTGGCATGTTATGGCATGGCACAAAAACAACTATTAGAAAAAAAACAGGAAATTTTGAAGAGGAAAAATAACCATTATTTTTGAACAATAGAGAAATAGTGAACTGGAAAATTTATAAAAGTTTGTTGTTTCCTTTGAACTTCTTCATAAATCGAATACGTCAGTTAGTATATATATATAAATTAGAATTTAATGTCTACGATATTTACAGATGAATAGATGGAACTTATTGAGTTCAACAAGAAAATTGTTTGTCTTTGAAATAATATGAAAACTTATTATAAGTAACAAGGTCTATGTACTTTTCCATAGAGACAATCTGCCCGACTTTTTTTCGAACATTTATTTTGTTCTAGAAGCTCAAAAATGTAATTTTTAGATCGAGCAAGAATAGCTGCATTGAGAAACATAAATTTGAGACTATTCTAATGTAATATGATAAGAAATTCGTCAATGTTTTGTACAGATTTTCTCTTGCGGAAGAATGATTTAAAACTCCACCAGAGCGAATATCTGTTTTTGGGAGCATAGACTAGAGTTCGACGATTCCCAAAATATTACGTGGAAACAAACCCCTTAAATCATCAGATAGATATGAAAATTTTCAATCTATTGTAAAAAATTTTCACCATTGAATTGTTGAAATTAAAGACGTTACATATTTCAGTACTTAATCAAAATAATATTATGCATATAGACTGAAATCTTTAATGTCAACAATAAAAAAATGAAGATTTCTTAACATAGATCTAAGAATTTTTGTATCTATTTGATTATTCAACATTTCCGTTCCAGTCTTTTGCATACTGCCGAACTCTACCACAGACACATAGTATATAGAGCAATAATCACGAAATCTTGGAAGGTCAAAACGATTTTTGGAGGAGCGCCGCTTTCATGGTGGATAAAACATTGAAACGTGTTGAATATCCGAGAAATGTTTCCTAGAAAAAATCAACAGTGTCCACGAACTAGAAAATAGAAATTCCTGCATTGTTAAGAAACCATCAATAGATCTATAAAAACTCCTCAGAGAATCCACTATCAAATCTGTCACAGTTTCAATATTAATGATAATTACAGTGATGTATTTTTTGCAATAGTTTTGTACGCCTACAAATTTATCTTCGTCCCTATCTTCGCTGTTATGGATGTAGGAGCGAATATATATTGTGGATTATTTGCTTAGCAATCATGAAATTGTGGTGAATTCCTATGAAGCCTTGAAATGGGTCGTCTGGTCCAGAGAGATTTTTCTTACTGGTCGAGTGGATCTGAATTTCTGTCGGACCGCTCGGTCCGAACTTTATTTCGTTTCTCAAGTAAAATTTTCTATGTAAGATAACAGAAAAAAGATTACTTATTATGAAATTTCATCATGTAGAAATCTTTTTTTTTGCAAAAGAAATATACTTTAAATAGTGCCATTTTGAGCTGGACGGAACTGTTTGAACATGAGGAGTTCTTAGCACGGGTCTGGCCATCAGAAAGTGGTTCGATTTCTATTTCTCAGTTCTTGAATACTGGTCATCAAATTATATATAAATAGTCTCTAATCTATGTTTCTAAATACAGTTTTATATATTCTACCTAAAAATCAGCTTGTCAAGATTCTACAACAAAACGAACATTCGACAAAAAAAACAGCAACTAGTTTTATTTAGAAACTCAAGTAGGATTTTCCACATAGAAAAATTCATAATTCTTCATATTAATTTTGATAGTTTCTTTTTTTTGTAAATTTTATTTCAAATAGAAGGTTTGAATATTTCTTTCATGAACATATATTTATAGAACTCAACGTGTTCTGTTATATCTTTTCAAAAAAAAGACATGAGTTAATTATTATGAAAATTGAGCAGTATGTCAGGCTTTTCTTCTAGTTCATGCCGAGTTCAAATATTTGAAGAATGCAAATATTAAGTTTCTAATACGATATAACTTTGATAAATATGATAGACTAGAATTTTTTATGAGTCAATCTCATGTTTCGAAATAAATATATAAAAAAGATTAAGAAGAAAATAAAACATAAAATATTTCTGCCATCAAATGTAAATTCTATTACATTTTTATTCATTATTTTCTTTTTCAATAAATTCATAAGAGGCAATTTAAATTACATAATTTACGGTCGAATAGTTTCTACAATTGACTGAAAGGAAAAAAAAATATTCATGTATACACAAATGATTAATTTTTGAAAAGGCCTTCATGCTTGTTAACCGTAATGATCATACTAGACCTTAACAAATATGCACAACTTACGAACAAACATTTCTAAATGTTAATTAGCTTTTGTGTCTAGACTATATGTATCATGTAGATTCTAATGAACTATGAATATCCTAGAAAGAATTGATGTTTACAACTTGTTCCAAATGAAATATCGAATTTTGACTTGAAACTTTCTCTACATCAACACTTCCGCTAGATTAATATTCGTACCAGAATTATAGAGAAGTGGATGCAAACTCAATAAATCGATAACAACAACAGTTCGCGAGCTGTAGTTTTCAGAAATCCCATCAAGAGCACTCTGAGCATGTTTTTGTTTGATAATATATAAGACAAAATTATTTTAAAATCCCTACCTTGATCTATAGATCTGAAGTCAATGTTAAAATGAACATTATATCGAAACGGAATATCATTTTCATGTAATTGTTTCTAATTTTTTTTGCGAAGATGACAGATTTTAAAATAGTATCAGATAAAAAGCTGTCTAGAGTTCTTCTTTTTCAATTGTTGAAAACTGCAGATCGATACTTGTTACCGCTGTCGAGTTATTGATATTACGCTCATTCTCCTTTAATTCTGGTGCGAACATTATCTTGCGTAAACGATTGCAGAATTTTTGGATACAGCCTTTCCGAAATATGAATCTTTCAATGCGAAGGAAAAATTCCTATCTTGGAGAGATTTTGCTCGAAAATTTTGAAATTGTTTATGGAAGTTAATCTAGTTGAGATCATTATACAGACAAAATCTTTCTAGGACATTCGTAATTTATTCGGATCTATCTGATGCATATAGTCTCGATAAAAAACAAGCATATTGACACTTGGAAATGTTCTCTGGTCAACTATTTTTACAAAATGAAATAAAGCAATCTTGATTTTTTTTTCGTCCAACTAAAGTACTTATTTGTTTCGATAAGAAAAGAACATAAAATTCAAGTGATTCTGATTTCTTGAGTTTTTCAAATAATAGTATTACCTTCTTCTTCAACTTCATGTTCGGATTGATTATCATCTTTTGTTGTTTCATTTTCATTTTGATTTATAACCATAGATGTGTCATCTTCATTATCACCGTCATTATTATCACCATTTTCATTATCATTATTATCACGAATTTTTTCTAATAAAAAAAAAACGTGTGTATGCGTCTTTTTTCATTTAAATATCTTTTAAACTTACTAGTAAATCGACTATCATTAGCATCAAAATTTTGTGTATCTTCAATATCGGATATAATAAAAGCTAAAGAAAAACTTTTGAAAAATCTAAGAATAAACTTAAAAATTGAACTAAACTAACGATTGTTTGTTTTGCTTCGTGTCATTATGGAATGTGTTGTTGGAGATGATGAAGATGATTTTTCTTTGTGTTTATATTCTTTACCTTGTTTACGTATCATAAAATTCTCATTATCATCCTCATAATCATCATCATCATCGTCATAATCATCATCATCGTCTTCCTCGTTTTCTTCCAGTTCTTGTATATCTTCATTCAATGGAATGGTACATGTGCAACCTGCACAATGATGATGATTAAGTTGTTGTTTTAATTTTTTATTTGCTTGTTGTAATCGTTTATATTTTCGATAAACTTTATTAACATATGTTTCATTTACTTCATTATAAGCATTGATTATTTCATCAGTTAATTCATAAAGTTCTTCAATACGTTTTCGAGCTTTTATATCAATTGCTTTTGAAGCTAAAACAAAAAGGAATATATATATATATATATTTACATATATAATAGGAAGTATTTATTAAACACCTGAATCAGATATTGGGGACAACCTTTTTCTACTCGTACGTTTTCCCATTGTAGTGTCGGAATTGAATGAATACAAAACAACAAAACGACCTTCCTAGTTTTATTTTGATTACTAGATGTCGCTATTAGTATATTTTTATATTAAAATTATTTATTTAAAAATCCGAAGAAAAAAATTTTTAATAGAAAAATTTTTAATAAATGATAATAAATATCTTATGAACTATTATGTTGATATGACAACGATATGATCTATGAGACGATAGGGTAGCGCTTTTTGATAGTTTCTTTTTGTTTTATATAAACCGCAACATGAAGTATCAAGTAGGAATATAAAATGAAAAAAAAACATTTTTAGAAAATTATTAATCATAAAATTTAGACTGAATATCAACGAAATTATCAAAATCGTTCATCAAAAAAATTTCATGAACTTTCAGTTGAAGAACAAAAATTAAGCGAAGGTCTTTTGTTTTTTTTTCTTTTGTATGTTTATCAATTTTGGTTTTTTTTTTGTTCAGTACCAATCAAACGTTCATTATCATCACCAACACGTCGTCGTCGATTATCACCAAATCGCTATTATTATAATGATGATAATGATTTTGTTGTTATTGGACCAAATGATAAATTTTCTCAGTCATCTCTTTATCGATTGAAACAACCATTTAAAAATTATCCTCGTATTGCTAAACCACAAGAATATGTCGTTTTAGGAAGAAATCAAAAATTTGAAGATAATGCTATTTATAAATTAAGAAATCCAGTTATAAATGATTCACCTAGAGTAAGAGATTTTCATTCTAAATAAATATTGTTCAACCATTTATTATTCACTGGTTACTGAAGTGATCATTTGTAGAACGATTACAAAAATAGTAAACTTCATGAGCTCTTGTTTGGTAAAAAAGGCGTAGGACAGTTACTTGCTAGAGCACTTGCACACATACGTATGGGTGTGAATACGAGTGTGGATGGAGAGAAGAGGCAGACCAGCACCCACATCCGTGAGCAACTGCCCAGCTCCCGGTAAAAAACGAACATAGCGTTACATTGCTCCATTTTCAAAATATCAAACTTACAAAATCGATAATTTTGAAAATAACTTGGCAGTGCGGCTTCATGATAGGCCAAGGTGTGAAACTGACAAACTCTGATTGTTATATATTTATGGTATATTGTCAGAGAGAAATGCAAGATAAATAAATAAATCAAAATTATAAGAGTTTTTATAGTCAATGCGGGCGCTCTGAAATTTCATCATTGTCATATACATCTTCAATACATAACTTCTTTTCTCCTAATTATAATATATACGATGCATGCCATAGGAAGTGGTAAATATCATTTTACTCTTTGTTTCATTAGTTCAATCACTAAACTAGCTTCCTATACACATGGGTTTAATCTCCCAACACACCGTGCTTTCGCTCATTGAACTTTGATATATAATGTTTAGCTTTGCCTAAACCTAGAATGCAATTAGTTCATACTTTTCTGACTCTGCTAGATCAATAATACCACCGTCCTACTGATTGACATCTACAATAAGATCCTTTTGCTGTATTAAATACCAAAGCCTGCTAATTAGAATCTACACTAGAAATCTTAGATTTGTAGAATATTCCGGAAGGTTCTAGGAAGTTCGAGAATAATCAGAGTATTGTTATTACTGACGCATCTTTTTCTGTTGCTAGGAAAAGACATCCTCCCTCCGTTGCTATGGAAACGTACACAATGATCTCTGGTTTTTCTCCTTTCACTTCCGATTGCTAGGGTCTAGAGCCGTGGAAGTCACAAAAAATTCGATTTAAACTTGCACTCACTATTTTTGTCGAAAATATATGTGAGTTCCACAAAAATTAAAATTTTTTAATTAGTAAATGGGGCTTGTGATGTAATATAGATTGATGAAAAAATGGATTGTATTGTCACTATTGATCAGAGAGAGGCGCAATCAAGAATTCAATTGATGCATTTATTGTAAACTTCGTCATGTGCGAAGTTAAAATAATATTTATTTTATAGATAAAAATGTCTGCAATGGTTATATAATTCTTCAAAGAAGAAGTAGTAATTATTTGATAATATATGTCAAAAAGACATGTATTATTTCAAAATTAGTTATTATGTGTTCACTGCTTCGTTTTCTTTTTTTTTTATTACTCCCATAAAATAGGATATAAGTTGCTTTTTCTCACTCAATGTTGTTATGAAAGAAAAAAAAATCAGGGTATCTCATATCGTTCAATCCTTATTATACCACAAGTAGGACATCAGATGAATCTGACTACACTATTAACATATCGATTTGCTTACCTCAGATAAAACAATGTTGAAATGAACTTGAGATTTCTGATAAGGAGAGATCAGTTTCCAGGCAAAATCCTTTGGCAACTTTCTATCAGCGAGTTCCTTCTAATAAAGTTCAAAAACGGTTTTTTTGCAGTTACTTTCTGCAAAGAAAATTATTTTTGAACTATTTACGAAACTTTAGTTCTCATCACTGAAAACAATCGAATACCTTCGAATAAACACTTCGAGAAGTAATATAAAACATACATTGTGTCTTCTAATTGTGTTTGTAGTTAGTTGTGTAGAAGATAAAGTTTAGTAATTCTGTAGTTTTTAGAGGGAAAAGCATAACTATAAATTTGTAATGTTGATTGATTTATATTTTCAGAGTAATTTCAGAGAGATGTTACCCCAAAAGTTTGTTTTTTTTGACAATGAAGGTGAAACTTCCACTGTGTTTTAGTATCCTACACATAGAAACTTGTAACTCGCTAAACAGCTTAGATTTATTTGTAATCTTTCACATCCACTAGCGATTTCAGGACAGCCACCAATGAAACAGTTATTGAAATAGAGAATAGGTGTCTCCGATATGTCAATACTGATCAGGCATACTCTCGTTTGTCGCTCCAGAGATTGCTAGAAGAGGAAGAACGACTGAACCAAAAAGCATGTTGTAGAGAGCTTAAGAACGTCTTATTTGATAGAGAATTATTCGCTCTATCATTACATGTGGTCGAAGCAAATTTTATATCTTATTCATAGGCACTGAAAACTAGAGCTTTTGATTATCTAGAAACCACCATAAGTGACCATTCTGTATCTTACCATTTTCTATCTATTTAGCTTTTGTGAAGCTCTTGAATAGTATTTTATAGAAACAATTTTATTTCAAAAAAATCCAACCTTTTTAGTTTTTCCAAGCTTATCGATTTTGTAATTTTTTTTTCGAATATGGAGCAACATAAAAAATTTTTTTATCAAATGATAGTTTATAGAGTTTATTATGAGACATGTTCTCAAAATTCCTCAATTTCAGATTTCATTTATTTTCTGCAATCATTCTACAAATGATTACTCACGTGCCCAAGGAGATAAAAGCTTAAGGTCTCTCAAAAAGCGATCTTGCCCCAGGTATATTCAAATTTCATGACATTTTCAGCCTTATATCATGACGCATTCTGAAGATATTTGAAAAATAAGGGTCAAACATAGTTCATTTGGCAACCCAAAATTCTCTGTAGACCTTCATTCTACATACTTAATTGTTTTTTTTGTCCCAAAGACCATGTCAAGATGCAAAACATGGCAGAGCCATCATTTTTAATTCGTACTTTTTGAGAGAAGTAAAATTCACTGTCTTGAAAAGCTCTCAAAAAATGGTACTCTAATTATAAAAGTGCTCTTTTATATAATAGTGAGAAAAGATTAATTCAAAAAAAGAACACTGTCATGCCTCACATCTTGACATATTCGTTCACAAAAAAAACCAATTAAATATATAGAGTAAAGATGCACTGAGAATTCTAGCTTGCACGATCAAAAAAGCGAACTTTTCAAGCAAAAAGATGACGAAAGTTTTTGAGATAAAAACCGAGGTGCCAAATAAAAACATCATATCGTTTATGAAAATTAAATCTCGGGCTTCCATACCTGCACGAACGATATAATTCAATGTTTTAATTTGAATATAAATACATTGAAGATAAAGTTTTATATCTATACAAGATTAATTGTACTCTTAAACATAGGTTGTAATACGACGACGACGACGTAAAAATGAAAATCATTCATGTGGTATTCAAACTGTATGTGAAAATAGAAAATAGAATATTATTCATATTATTATAATTTTTGATATTTAGGAACTCGATAAAGCAGCTAGTGTTTCCCATGTTCCTCGACATAGAGTAAATTATATCTTTTTTTTTTATAATAGAAAACTTTTGTTTTTCTTTTGTCATTGAATAAAATAGAAACGAATTGAACCACAAAGTGAATATAAACATAAATATATTAATTGGAAACAACCACCAAATATTCCAGTTACTGATCAAAAACCTATTGAAAATTCTCAATGGGTTAGATTTTATTTTTTTTTAAATTTATGTTTTTAAAATAATATTTTCAGCGTGATCGACGTTCGGATCTAATAGAACCATCATCTATAGTTAATCCATCGAAAAAAATTTCTAAAGGTGTCAATACACCATCACGTTTAGAAATTGATGTTCATGCAAATAAACAACGCGCAAAACGAACTACTATGGATTCAACAAAACTATTTCGTCCAAAAAGAGATAAAGCAAATGAATATCGAGCATGTCATAGACGAATTATTGATCCAAGACAACGAAAAGCATTTGAAGCTGAAGAAGTTGATGAACGAGTAAAATTTTTTATTCAACTTAGGCATGCATCGAATCCGAACGTTTGGGTTCGGTATTGAATGCAGTCATTTTCAGTTAATTTATAAAAGAAAGTAGAATTAAGAGACTTCATGCTTGACTATAGTAGATCTACACAGAGTGGAATAAATGATCTGAAAACTAAAAGTTTACCGGAGAGTCCACTGGATTCGGATTTGAAAATTTTTGACGCGACGGGCTCTAATCTGCTGAGATCTTAGAAAAATTCAACAATGTTCACAACTATTTGAATCTTAGAGAACTTCCATGATTGTCAATATAGCTCAAGAAACGCTTGGATGAATACCCGACATTATCTGAACTCAAACATCGAGCCAGAGTTTAG